GGGGGAAGTGTGCAAAATACAAAAAAGACATGCTCCAGAGGGCAACCCAAAAATGGCCATGCTATGGAGGCCAGCGGACATGCTATGGAGTGGTACATATATTTTACAATTATCATCATCATTTCCTTTCTCACCCTGCATCAGGGTATAGGCCATAAACAAACACTTTCCACCTTTCTCTATCCTGGGCAAGCCTCTTGATGTCATTCCATGTCTTCCCACTTTTATAATATACAGTAGTCTCTGCTTAAGATCTCAGTGCTTGGGAGCAAGGAAAATGCAAGGTCTTAGCCAATGCACCAAGGAGGACTCATGATCAGGCCCCAAATCTGTAAAATGTTCTCCCCTAAATCTGAAATGAATTTACGTGACCCCTAGGTGGGTTTATGACTTATTATAAGACTTATGGAGAGCAGAGAGTGGTCAACATAATATTACCAATCACAATGGCATGAGGCATACCATTTTCACAAATCTAATTGTGAGTATGAAGAACGTCAATCCTGTTACTTCTCCCCTTTTGATTTGTATCCAAAATTTATAGCTTCCTCTCTCTATACGGGATCATTTCTCTTGTCGTAACGCACCATTGTGTTGTGACTGCATGAATTAAAATTCAGTATGTCCAGTACATTTGGGTGCAGAGATGAAAGACAAGTGCTGTCACGAAAACAAAAGCACCGACAAGTTCACATTTTGATGTCATCCCCTCCGATATGGCCTTGTTGGCCCTACCCACCCAGCATGTGATGTAAGTTTAGGTGGAGAGTTCAAAATACGAGTGCAATGTTTGGGAAAAGTGTCAACGACTTAATGCTTCGGCCTGAATCCTGTCCGGGGCAAACGTCATATCCTTTCATGTATTTACATATATGTATGCACACAAGTATTCAAATGTGTGTGTGTGTGTGTGTGTGTGTGTGTGTGTGTGTGTGTGTGTGTGTGTGTGTGAGTGTGTGTGTGTGTATGTAGTTTGCCATTATAAACCAAACTGCCCTTCTGGGATCAATAAAAGTGTAATTAATTTTATTCATTTATTATTATTATCTGAAATGCGGGATCTCAGCCAAAAGTAATCCTTCAGAGCAAGATCTTAGGGGTGACTTTTGGGTAGTAAAAATACTGTTTTCTTTAAACAGTGGGAACTTACGTGAACTGGGAACATAAGCAGTGGGATATTAGGCAGAGACTGTTGTATATATATGTTATAAGATATAAGATATAGCATTCATGGGGAAAACAATCCAGAGAGGGGTTTAGGTAAAGAATCTTAAACCTATACAGGAAGTCAATAGATCCATCATCTCTGGCCACGAGTTCACCTGAATGTGTCAAATGGACCAGTGACCCAACTTTCACTGCCTGAAACAGGTACAAATTGTGCATTGTTTATCACAATTCTGGATCGATAACAACAACCACAATTCCAACACAGATCAAACCTATCGACAGATGTAAGAGTTATATTACGAGATTTATACATAAGGAATGACTGGAACAACAAAATAAATACATACGTACGTATAAAGCAGACAAAAATTCCTGGCACAACTTATCCTCAAATATGTCTTTAACGGGTGAATCAATGTTCCCATACTTGGCACAACAGGGAGTAGCATGATGATGAGGTAAATCATAGATGGGTATTGCGACAGGGAGGCACCTTCAGACTATCACAAATAACTCTCAATATATCTGTACAAAACATAAGAGTAACAGAAATAAAGAACAGTGTAACCACTCCTGTTCAGTAGTGATGTGCTCGTGTCAGTTCGTTTTGGTTTTAAAAAACCCCCAGTAAAATGTAATCATCCATGGTAAAAAAACTAGAATAAAAAAAACTTCAAGGTTCATTCCACACCATTAATTGTCACCAAAAAAATAAAAAATTATATAGTGGATAGTGAACACTTTTTTTTTTTTCACTTTAAGGTTCTAAAAACCTGAGTTCAATAAGCATGATGCCGTGATTGGAAAAAAAGTACAAACTTGCTTTTAACAGTGCTAATGTCCCAGCTCATGGGATGAAAACCTTTTTAAATCTGTAGAAACCACCTACCAGGATTTTTAAAATTAATATTTATTGAAGAATTTTCTAAAATACAGTGAACAGTTTTTTACAAAAATATTAATCTGTTGAGACAAATTGATACAAGTCATTGGGCAAAAGTTCAAGAGTCTTTGTTCAACGATTGAGGAGATATTTGACAATAACTTGTACCATAAATTTTTGACCACACTATAGGAAATACCTGAGTCAACTATAGTGCAAAAAAACAAATTGAGCTAAATACCCAAATCTCCATTGCTTTCTATTATCATATGCAAGCTTTGTAATAAAGGATGCCACCAAAAACAAATATACATTAATTCTAAATACAGAAAAGTTTTGAACAAGTCAAAAAACAGAAAAAAAGAAGCATAAATAAAAGCTGCATAACACTTACTGAAAATCAGCATAAACAGATAATAATAGTGCTCAAAGGGAAACAATTTACATCATAGAGATAGACTGCTTTTATAACAGGATAGAGAGGCTCCTGTCTCATTTATCACAAAACTTTGACACCTAAGAGAGAAAGAGAGTGAGGCAGACAGACAGAGAATGAGAGAATGAGACAAAGAATAGAAAGAATAACATTGTATTCATCAGAAAACGTGAATCTCTCACACAGACTGGAGAGAGAGAAAGATAGCAGAAGGTCGGAAGGATGAGGATGCATCTCATTCATCAAAAAACTTGAATGTCCCCAGCTTTAACAGTGACAAAGGATGAAGGGTCCATGCCTCTTTTGCTCAGTTCCTCCTGCAGTTTTTCTCTTGGCTCTAAATAAAACTGAAAAAAAAAGAAGACAGGTAAGGAAAAATGGTATCTTAGTGCATTCTGAGTACAGGGAAGCAAGCACATCTCCAGTCTGAGTTTGAGAAAACAAGCATATCCACACAATGATACTTACTTAGTTAACTTAGAGCTGGGGAAAAGACAGACAGACAGACAGACAGACAGACAGACAGACAGACAGACAGACAGAAATAACAGAAGTAAAATTAAGAAGTAGGGCTTACCAGAAGCACCCTCCCACTAAGAGAACATAAAAACATGCAATCGTGATCTGTACCATACAACATCTCACAATGGACAGACGCGTCAGACAGATATGACAGAAACGACAAACATGACATGATAGAAGTGACACGACTGGAATGAAATGACAGAATTGACAAGACAGCATCAGCAGATAGATAGATACCACACGACAGGACCAACATGTCAAGACAGATAAGATACACTTTATTCATCCACAACTGACAGGCTAAAACAGCACCTGGACATGGATGGATGGTGCCTTTACAAATAAATCATTGATGGTCAAGGTCAATGTAAACTGACAGATACAATATGAACAACACAATATGACCTATGTCAGATAAACAGCACAATACTACAACATGACAGACAAATATGACATACAGACATGACTGAAGCAAAAACTTTATCAATAAGCTCAAATATCCAATCCACAAAGTAAAAAAGAGTAAAACACACACACACACACACACACACACACACATACACACACACATGCGCGAGCGTGAACGACGAAAAAACCAAAAACCCAGCACATGAAAGATGACAAGGCGAACACACCAGATAGACAGGATAAGACAGCTACAATACCACAAGAATGACAGAAACAAAATGACACAATCTACTGAAGAGACAGAAACAACATGACACAATCTAAAACACTTTTTAACACCCTATGTGCCTCCTAGAACGCTCAGATCTTCAAGTGACAAAACAACCCCTGTTAAGCCTAAAATAAATTACAAATCATATGGCCAACGCTCTTTCTCATATTTTGCCCCACTTGTTTGGAATAGGCTTCCTAAAACTATCAGAGAAGCAGAAAATCTAGAAATTTTTAAGAAGAAACTAAAAGCATTTCTATTTTCATCATATTTCGATTAAACAGAATCCATCCAAGCAGTAGATCGTTGTGAGTTTGTATGTATTATTATTAATAATAATAATAAATTACACTTTTATTTGTCCCAGAAGGGCACTTTGTTTTACAATGGCAAACATACATACATACATAAATACATAATTATGAATATGTACATACATAAATACAAAGATGCATAAATAGGCTACATACATAAATACACACTATTACACAAATACAGAACAGTTTATAAACAATGCCACTGTCGGTCGCCACTGTGCAGCGCCCTGTAATTTGAGCTAGGGTTATCGTGTCTTGCTCAAGGACACACCCCAGTGTTCCAGACTCGTGCAAACACATATTCACTCACGCACGCACCACACACACATACATACACACATACACACATACGTACATATGCACATACGCACATAAACAATTCACATTTCGGGGAGGGGGGAGGGGGGTTGTTTGCTTTCTTGGATTAACACCATATACAATATATATATTTTGAAAACGTCCTTACACTGGGAGGCTATGGGGTTCATATTACTAAATTATTACTTCACTCAACTCATCATAAAAGAGCTGAGCAAAACAGAGGGGAAAAACCTTTCTCTGCACACAGGTTGTGGCCAACAAGTGCCACCTCATCAGAGGGAGAATGTGCACTTTTGATAAATAACAGAGGCCTTATGCTATCAATACGCTGAAATCTAATCCACAAATTAAGGAGGAGTAGAACATAACCAAAACAAACATCCCCCCCCCGATAAAACAACACATGAAAGATTGTAATGACTGTAAATGTGTTTTTTCACGGCCCTATCAACACAATGTAGAATGTGAGGAGGTCAGCTGCTTCTACCCTGCCTGAGAGGGCAGACGAAGGCTGAGTAAGAAACAGCCTCCCAGCATACAAGTGGAAAAACTCGATCAAGGACTTCCCAAACCAGGCACAAACTCACATCCACTGTGTGCACCAGTGAGGAGCCTAACCTTTACACACCACAGGCACCGATAAACTGAAATATCTTTTTAAAATGTAGTTATTTTACACCCCCCC